TAAGATGCTGGCAGGGAAAGCCTACATGGAACGCCATAACCAGGTGGCTGGGATAGTCTACCGAGACATCTGTGCAGAGTATGGACTGGAAACGCCAAGGTCAAAATCGGAAACACCTCCGTAGGTGGTGGTGGGATCCAGACTGACAAGATGGTAAAGGGAAACCAACCGGATATCGTGATCATAGATAAAGGGCAGAGGAAAGCCGTTGTAGTGGATGTAGCGGTCCCAAGTGATGGAAACATCAGAAAGAAGGAACACGAGAAACTCGAGAAATACCAAGGGCTCAGAGAGGAGCTGGAGAGAGCCTGGAAGGTAAAGGTGACAGTCGTGCCTGTGGTGGTCGGAGCACTCGGGGCAGTGACCCCCAAACTAGATGAGTGGTTGCAACAGATCCCGGGAAGAACATCATGTATGTATGAACTGCATTTTGTATTTCCTGGGGTTGTCTCTGCGTGATATTAAAATTGGTTGAATGAACTGAAATCTTTGTGTGTGATAAATATGCAAAGAACACAGAAATTGAGAAGGGAGCAAACACTTTTTTTCATGGCACAGTACCTTCGCCATTTTGTGTTCTATGTAAACAAGTGTTCTTGCTTGGACAGCGGACCGAAACCCAATTGTGTGATTTAAGACTAATCAATTGCATTTGACATGGGCACGTAATATGTGTCTATATTTTATGTGCTCTCTCTTGTCTTGTGTCTCAGACAGCAACTTTGTGCTGGGCAACGCACAGGTTCAATCGCTCTACCCCATCGTGTACTGCTCAGATGGCTTCTGCGAGCTCACGGGTTATGCTCGCGCCGAGCTCATGCAGAAAAGTTGCGCCTGCCAGTTCCTGTACGGCCCTGAGACCAGCGACCGCTTCACGACACAAATCCAAGGAGCCCTTGACGACCGGCGTGAGTTCAAGACCGAACTGGTCTTCTACAAGAAAGAAGGTGTGTCATATTTTATGATAACAATTAATAATAATGAAGAATGGCGACCCGGTGGTCCAGTGGTTAGCTCGTGGGCTTCACAGTGGAGAGGTTGTGGGTTCAATCCCGTATCCAGCCTTCCAGTGTGGAGTTTGCATGTTCTCCCCGTGCCTGCGTGGGGTTTCTCCGGGTACTCTGGTTTCCCTCCACATTACAAAAACATGCATGGCAGGCTGATTGAACGCTCAAAATCAGTGGTGTAGTGGGGATTTTTTTAAGTGAGTGTACGCGATTCTGGGATGTTCTATATATACATACAGAACATCAATCATAGGCTACAACACCAGTTGAACTAACGTTAAATTTAATGTTTTACTAAGTACATACATAAATTTACAAAATAATCACAGGCCAACGTTATTAAGCATAACTCGCATTAGAACAATGATCAACAAACATTTCAAAAAAAATTGAATGTGGCGTCGGGAGGAGTGGGTGGACGGCGTACCCCTGCGTACCACGCCCACTACACCCCTGCTCAAAATTGTCCGTAGGTGTGAGTTTGAACGCGGATAGTTGTTCGTCTCTGTGTGCCAGATTCCCATTAATCGGTACCACTGAGGTAGCACTCAGTTTCAAATTTTGAAGACGCCTCATTCAGAATCTTCAATGAAACAAAGAACTGTCATTGAATTGTTGCGCAAAAATGAATAAATAAAATAAATAAATAAATCATCATCATCATAAAAGTTGGTTGACACCAACTGTCAGGCAAACTTTCTAACCACTCACCTACCTTGCTGCCTTTAAAACAAAACAAAACAAAAAGATCAAATATGTTTTTCATCATTTTATGTTTGTGGTTCATGAAGATTGAAACAACACAGCTAACATCTATGAAAGGGAAAACATGTTTGATGTTGATTAGTCTATCTCTAGTGCTGTTTAATCTCTAATCTTGGCATTATAGAAATTGAGAAATATTGCAGATTACCCAATAAAAAAATCCGGGCAAAAACACTTTTCTGTTTGCCTGTTTACTAATTAAACATAGTGACTACACCGATGTACTCCTTCACTAAATACTGCACCAACTATTTGTTCATCATAATCCAACACTTGGTCTCTGGCAAATATTAAATGAAGCGAAACAGAAGCTGCATCGTGTTGCCATTGTTTACTGTTCTATCAGACAAACAAGGACAATATGTCTAATGATTTTATTCAGGAACTCCGCCCTCCTGCATTATTTACACACCCGAGCTACTCTGGGTTAGTAAAACTGTGTAGGAAACAGTATCCATAAATGCCACGCATCGTCTCCTGAGGGATTAGGAGTGCGTAACAGGAAACCATAACAAAAGCACAGCGAGTGCATGAATAGGCCTCGTCTGTCCTGACCGGCAAGTTAAAGGCTTAGTCTGAGCATATTCTCATTTTTGCAGCCTCCTGGCAATAGAAAGTGATTGTATGCAGCGATTTTAGCATCAGACCTGGAGAAAGATCATTTCTCCTACTTTTAGTGAGCTGCCCAACAGCATCATTGTGAAGCAGTTGGAGATTTGGCAACAGCCTGGAAACAGAAAGTGATCATAAGACGAACCTAGACATCACAGGAAAACAAGATCGGTTTTTGGCATTGACTATTACTGCAAATACAGTGAGAATATGTAGTGAAGCTAGTCGAGGAGAAATATGAGCTTTCTTTGCTCTAGTCAGTGATCAAGCAGCAGCACTTTATGCCAGATGGAGATTTTTGTCAGCATCTAAGATGTAGCGGACTATCTGTTATGTCTGTCGAATACAAAACATACTACGGTACAAGCAAAGCTAAAGCTAGAGTGCTAAAACCAATGCCAACTAGCTCTGGATTCTCAGCTGCTTTTCTCTTGGTCCGATGGTTTTTTTTTTCTTCCTTATATTCATTCCTGTGTAATGATTGCAATGAGACAGGATAAATTTAAATGAAATGTTTTGTATGTACTGTATGTACACAGCTCAGAAGAGGTTTGGGGTTTTTTGCCTATGGGTGAAATTTTAGGATAAAACTAAAATGCACTCAGACCTTTATAAGTGGACTTCATTTGAACTTCTCTCAATGCTGAATAAGTCGGCCCGGTTGTTCAGTGGTGAGCGCATCGACCTCACAGTGCAGAGGTACCCGGGTTCAATTCCAGCTCCAGCCTCCCTGCGCGGACGGTTGTTTGTCTCTGTGTGCCGTGCGATTGGCTGGCAACCGGTTCAGGGTGACCCCCGCCGACTGCCCGAAGACATCTGGGATAGGCTCCAGCACCCCCCGCGATTTGGATCGGAAAATGAATGAATGCATGAATAAATGCTGAATAACACTTGCTCACCTTTTCAATGTGTGAGTGTGTGGGAAAAAGTGCTGTTTTTCCAACAAGGAGAAACTTCACAACATATGTTTGATCCATTGTTAAATCATTTGGAACATTTTCGGGTCCTCGTGAAATTGTGCCCAAAATTGTGAGTATATGTGCCTATACAGTGGATAGTATTTTCATGATGCTCCTTTTGAGTGCAGGCACACACTTCTGGTGTCTTCTGGACATTGTGCCCATCAAGAATGAGAAGGGTGAGGTGGTCCTCTTCCTGGTGTCTCATAAAGACATCACTGACAAGAAGAAGGACCAGGATTCGGAACAAGGGCCTGACACAGGTGAGTGATCTGTGTTTGAATTCCGGTGTCAAAAAAGTATATACAAAGGACATTAGGAGTCCAACTGGGACCACAGGATGATATATTCAGAATCAGAAAATATTAAGATTTGGTAGTTTGAATATTTTCTACTCTGACAGTTCCTCTGCATAGAGTATATCGAAAATGAATTTTATATCATGAAGCAATCCAAAGCCCCTTTCAGACGGCCTTTAAAAGCTGTTAATTGTCTACCTTATTTTTGTCCTGCTCATATGAATAAAAATAGCATTCTCACAGAATAGGAGAACAAAATCAAGTAGGCTATTTTCAGGCTTTAAGTGTAGTATCCGAACTGACGGGGTGCCAAGGGCATTCAATTATCTGATTGCAGGATGCCGCAATGCTATGTGAAAGTCCGTACGGTTCCGACCGATATGCCGTCTTTGCGGAAAAGACACGGGGCAAGAAATGCCAAATCTGTTGCAACAGCTCGGATGTCGTAATTTTTCTGCAGTCTAACGAACAGTGAACGAGGCAACAAAAAGAGGCCGTGAGCTTCAGCTTGTCCGTGCACATAGCATAGCATGGATTGCAATAAATCACAGCCTTAATAATTTAAAATGTATGTTCAGCCTTTCCCCCCCGCCCATCGGCCTCCCGCCTCTCCTGAGAGCACAGTGGATATTGTGAAAATGAAGGCGCTAGCTGAACGTCTCCCCGAGGCTTCTACTTTTACTTACATATCATCCTCCCTGCATTTCAAAATGGATTTCTGATAAATAAAGGCCTTGGTTTGATCACAAACCAGCCATGTGAAGTGATCCTTACTTTTATCTATTTATATGGCATGAGCACTAGATATTCAATAAGCGTGACATCCACTGAGGCCGGTAAACCTCTCCCTGTTTTACAGAAATGTTTATTTTGCCTTGAGGCATGACATGTTTTTTTTTCTTGAATGCTGTTTCGATCTGGGCCCTAATAAATTATTCTGTGGCGGCCATTTTACTCACGGAGCGAAATAGAGAAAGGTGATAAAGGATTGTGGTTGTTGGGCTGGAATAAGCTAATATTACTTCGATTACTGTTGAAGTACAAGTAATAATACATTTTATGGAGGCGATTACACCTACATGACTTTTTATTGTACTCTGAAATAAAAACACAGAACAAATAAACAACTGAAGTTACAAAAGAAATGATAGAATCGATCTATAAACAAAAATCAGTTTTTTTTTGTTTTTGGTTGGTTTTTTTTTTTTTTATGTTTAATTTATAAATAACGTATTCAACCATTCAAGATCTTCCTCCATAGACTGAGACATGTTCAAACCCACATTTAATCTTGTCAA